GGATACTACTCCTACGATCCCACTCTGGCGGCCTACGGGTAAGCATTTAAAAATTAAGACGTTTGGCTTCGGACTAGACTCATTGAGCTGGGGAAGAGCAGTTAAATTGCACTGAAATGATTGAAAAAAGTTTTAAAATATTTATTTTGTAGCTGTGGTTTTTAGTTATTCCGATATTTCTACTCCTTGCAATCAAAAGAAAAAAATCGGTTTTTTTTGTATTGGTTCTTTTCTTAATATAATATAAATTTTTGCATATTTAATATTCGTTGTTAGAAAGTAAACGTCATTTTCAAAATTATGCATTGCATTTAAAAGTAATTAAACACAAAATTATTATTAAAGAAGTTTATAAAATTATATCATGGAATTAGTTCTTGAACTGACAAGTAATACAAAATATCCAAACAAGAAAAAGTTATGGTTTAGAAATAGTTAAAGAAATTAAATTGACATGCTAAATGACCACAAAAAACACCACATAGTTCTAGTTCGCGAAGATCCACTGTACCAATATACAAATGGGAAACTTAAGTGGGCTTAAAATGTTGCCATGGGACAAAAACTTTCTCGTCGTGTCGTCTGCCGGGTTTCTTTTTATTTATCGCTTAAAAGGGTATGTCTGGCTTAGAGTTTGAGCCCCGAGGCGCGGTTCTGGCTGAAATAGAATACGAATATACATTTCTTGCCATTTGCTGTTGACCTAGACGAGAGGAAGTTGCAAATGCATTCCGGTTGGGGGAGCGATTGTTATCATCCATATCAGCCACTAACTGATTATTGTCTTAAAGGTGTGTGAGCTTTATTTACCTAAAAAGCTGATAGCATCGATGGCCTAAACAAACTCATTAGTGGCCATGATAGGGCGTGGGCCAGAACTATGTACAATGAGCCCTATTGATTCGGGGTATTTGATTTAATTTTTGAACCCGCAGATACGGACCCAACTATGATCTCGCCGCCCGGCGAAAGAACGCCACGCGGGAGTCCACGGCCACGCTGAAGGCCTGGCTGAGTGAGCACAAGAAGAACCCCTATCCGACGAAGGGCGAGAAGATCATGCTGGCCATCATCACCAAGATGACCCTCACCCAAGTGTCCACCTGGTTCGCCAATGCCCGCCGCAGGCTGAAAAAGGAGAATAAGATGACCTGGGAGCCCAAGAACAAGACCGAGGATGATGACGACGGCATGATGTCGGACGACGAGAAGGAAAAGGAGTCCGGAGATGGTGGAAAACTCTCCACAGAGGCTTTCGGTGAGTCTGCTGCGAGTGTGCTTCCCTGTCCCTGACCTCAATTAGTATGTCCTCAACGAGCTCTTTTGGTAATTTCTTGAGCCCCACAATATTGTTTTCCGAACGCCTTGCCCCAATGATTCCTACGCCTTTTTCGCTGGCTGGCTAACTGGCTGACTGGCTGACCCGCCTCTTCGGCAGATTTGTGGCACTGGGCTTTTAAGTACAATTTATGTGGCGAAGCGAATGTTATGCAACATTCGTCTGCCCGCCGTCCGAAGTCCGTCGTCCAAAGTCCGTCGTCCGTTTATTTGTCTGACTGCTTAGGCGACATCCTCCCCGGAAGTTGACAGCACATTGTTGGCAAAGTGGCCTTGCGCCCGCACTCCGATTCACAGATGCACTGAGAGAAATTATTTAGTCAAGATAGTTTTAAATAGATTTTTTGTAATGTAATTGTAATTGCTTGACGATCTAAAAACAATACATTTTTAAATATTTTTAATCATTCTTTACGGATTTTGTCATGACAGTTAACTTCTTTCGGTTGAAATACCTTTAAAAAATTTAGCAAAAAGCTGACAATTTTTGGAAATAAAAAATATAACTCTTTGGTTACTCAAAAAAAATAGATAGCTGAGAAGGCGGTATGCTACTCATTTGGCTTTGGCTTTTTTTCTCGGTGTATTTTGACTCCAAAGTGGCCTTGTTCGAGTTGGCGACACATAGAAATGGTGCATTGGGAAGGGCAACTTGGGCGGTAGTCGGCGGAAACTCGAGTATTTTGCTGCTGAAAGCTTTCTCCGCTGGCTGCGAGGGTTGCACGCATCAACGCCCACCAACAATTTCAAGGGTTTTTGCCACTGCCAGCTGCCAGCTGCCAAGTTCCACCTCCTGGAAGTGCCAAGTTTTGCAGTCCTCTAAGAACTTGTCTGTGCTTCCTGCCTGCGACTTGAAATTAATTAAATTTATTTTGTGTCTCCACATGGTCTCTCTCTCTCCCTCTCTCTCTTTCTCTTCCTCTCTCTCTGTCTCGGCATCGTTTAATCTTCAGATCCTGGCAATCAACTTATCAAATCGGAGCTGGGCAAGGCGGAGAAGGAGGTAGACACTGACCAGAAGCTGGATCTCGACCGGGAGCCGCACAATTTGGTGGCGATGCGGGGACTAGCGTCCTATGCCACGCCCCCTGGTGCCCATCCCATGCACGCGGCCTACAGTTCGTATGCGCAATCCCATAACACGCATACGCACCCGCATCCGCACCAATTGCACCACCAGCAGCAGCAGCAGTTGCAGCAACATCAGCAGCACCAGCAACAACAGCAGCAGCAGCAGCAACAACAAATGGAGCAGTACTACCATCCAAGTGGCTATGGCCAGGAGGAAGCGGGGGACTTTGCGGCCCAAAAAAACCCGCTGAGCAGAGACTGTGGCATCCCAGTTCCGGCGAGCAAGCCCAAGATCTGGAGCGTGGCCGACACAGCCGCCTGCAAGACGCCCCCGCCCACCGCGGCGTACCTCGGCCAGAACTTCTACCCGCCCTCGTCGTCGTCGGCGGAGCAGCAGCAGCAGCAGCACCAGCTGCACCACCATCCGCCGCAGCAGCAGCAGCAGCAGCAGCCACATCATCACCACCACCACTCGATGGAGCTCGGTTCGCCGCTGAGTATGATGAGCAGCTACGCCGGCGGATCGCCCTATTCGCGGATACCTACGGCGTACACCGAGGCCATGGGCATGCACCTGCCCAACACCACCACCAGCACCAGCAGCAGCAGCAGCAGTTCCTCCTCCGGCAAGGTCCTGCCGCCCACGCCCACGCCCACCCACATCCCCATTCCTATGCCCATCAGTATGCACCCGGTGCCGCAGCGGGTGGGGTTTCCCGAGATCCAGCCCGATACGCCGCCCCAAACGCCGCCCACTATGAAGCTCAACAGCAGCAGCAGCAGCAGCATCGGCAGCAGCGGCAGCAACAGCGTGAGCAGCCACAGTTCTTCGATGCATTCCGCTCCGGTGACAGTGGCTTCCATGGTCAACATTTTGTACAGTAACGATGCTGGGGCATACGCAGGACATGGCCATGGTCATGGTCATGGTCATAGTCACTCCAACGCCTTCCATCTCGCAGAGAGCCGTTCCGGGTCGTAATTCGACCTTGAACCAGTTTAAACAGACCAGATACCAGTTACCAGTTACCAGATACCAAATAGCAAGCGAAACTACTTACACATTTCGACGGGCGGGACAAGTGCAATCGCTATTACGATTACGATTACGATGACGATGACGAGTATGAGTACGATTTACCAGATAGCGATAACTACACTAATTATTTTGCAATAAATGTAGCTTAAGTATGGCAATAAAACTTTATTTCCTACCATATCATAAATTATTTCGCTTTATAACTTTAATTAGCATATTTACACTCAACCGTTGAAAATTTCGAGGCGCACACACGTCTTGGTGGGGCGGTGGTTGAGGATTGCCGGTGGTGGCGGTGGTGGAGCTCAGACTTCTAAACGCCCACTTTGGGTGGTGCTTGAGAAAGACGGTGCCGTGTTTTTGTCATGTTTTTTTCGGGCCCGGAGGTTGAGTCACTCCACTCGGCTCCGGGTTTAATGACTCGAAATAAACGCACACCACACGAACTCATTCATCTTTCGTTTCGAGCGACGAGTCTCATGCCGAGTGGCATACCGATAATAATGCCAGCCCGTACTACTCCGCCGTGCTATAAATCACCCGAACTTTTTGTCTTAGCTCTCGTACTCTACCTTAAGTGCTTAATCCACACAACTTAATAATTTTAAATAGCATCATTAGATCTTAAGGAAATTTCACGTTGTATTAGTGCTAATCATCCTAAATTGCTGGAACGGAACATTAGTTTCCCAAATCCTACTCGTAGGAAATAGTTACTTTAAGATTTTGACTAACCCTTCGACTATATACTCGGCCAAATAATTAATCCGTGCAAAACATAAATAGTTACTTAATCGTAAACATGTAATTAGTTATTTTATTCGTTTGATAAATTTGTAGAAAAATTTAAGTATCTGTGATATATGCATATAACTACTTACATACATACGTACGTACTATACGAGCAACTAACTGCGCTAATTTAGTTAATTCACACATACTTCTTCGTACACAAAATGCACTTTCGTTCAGCAACTGGTTCAAGACATTTTTAATGGCATACATTTTGTAATTGTAAATAGTATTTATGTAAATTTGCAAATTTAATGATAAATAAAGTTGAATAAAATCAAGGATTTTTCTTTTACTTGCTTTCTGAATGCCAAAAGTGTTTACAAATAGATATATCTAAACTTGATTTAGATTTATATGGCTACGGAAAGCTTTTGGTTATTTATTTATGGGCTATCCCATTCAGATTTCATATAATTAACAAACGGAAGCTTAAGAACAAAATAGAAAAAGATATAAAATGTGGAATGTTGGCGTCTGTTAAAGGAATCTTTATGAGTTACAGTATTAACATTATTTTGTAGAGAAATGTTACTGTAAAAATCTTTATTTTCGCATTTTGCAAAATTTTGAATTCGTGATTTTAAATAAATAAATACGCAATTTAAAAAGTATTTAATATTGAAAAATAATTAAACATCTAACATGTTTTCATTATTTTATTCTCATTTTTCATAGACTATTTTTGTTCTTTTTTTGTTATTTATTATTAAGTATTACAATCCCTTCTGATTATAAATGTTCTTAAAAATGCTCTCATATAAATAAATGTGTGCGCTCCGACCCAATGAACTTAATTAATCGCAGCGAACATGGGAGCGGTCGCATTTTTCGAAGAAATATGTAGATATAGATACATTCAATCACGGGGCTCATGTGTGTGTCGTGTGTCACATCTATAAATGAAAATAATAAATCGTCGGTGTCGCATTATAATTATCGACCTACCCATAACAGCTCAGCAATGGAATTCCACGGATTCGGACAATACCAAACAGTGTAATTCAGATTGACAGTTGATCCCTTTATAATGATCGCAATATATTGGAAGAATTGGGCAAGCTGCTACCTGTGCGTAACCAAATGGAAGGCAACAACTTTATTTTATCAGATTGATATACTTTACGAGGGACAGATTTCTAATTAGAGAAACTCACCTAATGCCTCTTATTTTGGAGTCTGAGCAAAGGTTTTAGAAACTTATTATGAAAACAATTAGTTATAAAAAAGAGTCTTGAGTTGTGACAATCAACATGAAGCTAAGTTGATTTTAAGTGACCTAACTTTCTACTTTTTAAAGACTCCGGAAAATGTATTAAAATTATTAAAAGAATTCAATAACAATTGCTTTATCCAATGAATGGGTAAAATTTTTGTTTTGTTTTCTATATATTTGTTTTTTAAAACATATTTTTTTAAAACCAGTTAACCGTACAGACATACTTGTAACTATTAATTTAATTTGAGCTTAATCGTTTTAAATATATTATCATTTTAATCCTTAATTGTGTGAGCAAACAATTTGAAATGCAATGCAACCCCAGACCGAACTTTAAAAGGGGCAACTTATTTAGATGAAATTCACAGGCACAGAGTAGGCCAGAAAACTCATTAAAGCTCCGCTGGATTCTGGTCGCTGTAAGGACAATTAGATAAATTTCGGAATTTTCAAATTAGCCGCTTGAATCATGGTAGCATCTGCAGTCAATTGCACTCTTTCGCAAATGCATGGGACGCGGATGCAACTGCATGGGAGGCAAACTGCCGCCAGCAACAAAGTCCAGATCATAATGAGTCCAGCTTTGGCTTTTGTCGGAGGCTGGCTTTGGCCATTTTATCCGCCGAGTGGAAAATGACAACATTAATTTAGCGCTTTGTTCTGTGCGAATCCGGGCTGGGCCACATTTTAAATTAACCCAAAACATGTTTAGGGGTTTTCCGCACAATTGCCTCTTCGGTGCAATGTGGCAAAAAGGATCTCATTCCGGCTGCATAAAGGATTGCAGCATCTGATGCCCATTTCGTTTTCGGGGTGGTTGTAATTGAAAAGTCAGGAGCAATAGAATGGTTTTGGCACATGCCAAGGAGTGAGGGAGTGCATTTAAGCAGACTTGCATCTTTTTAATTGTGCAACGCTTGTAGATATTAATTATTGTTGGGTCATTCAAAAATATATTGCTTTTCATACCGCTTAAAGGTTAGTTTCTCTACAACATAAAACATCACTTACAGTAAGTTGTTTGTGTCAAAGATTTTAAACAAAAATTGTATGTTACTAATTGCCCGCATTTGGGGATATAAAATATTCATAATGTTTTGATCCATTTTTAAGAGAAACATATTGTATTTTACAAAAGAGTTTTCAAAATCAATCGAACAATGAATTTTCTTAAAAACAATGTCACTCTTATTTTTCCGCATAATTTGTTTGACCAGCATTTTTTTGCCGCTGCAAATGCAATTAATTGAAAATCGAAATAATAAAACATTGCCTGCATTCGGGCTATTGATATATTATAACGGCGCGTGTTCGGGCCTTTTTGTAAAACAAAGAAACTTGTCGCGTTTCCATTTGACAAGACCACATTTGTGTTGTGGGCGTGTGCAGCGAATCCGGGGCTGAAACATGAACAGGTCTATTGGGGCTTGAGGACGCACACGTAGAACATTATTCGGCTACAAAATGGCCAAAACAACAAACCGCTATAATTTACCATATTTTATGGCTGCGCCGTGGCAATAAAATCGCCAACAAGGCCAATAACTCATTCTAGAGCGCTGGCGCTGCAGGGCGGCGGCGGTTTCCAGTTGGTAGTTGGTATTTGGTAGTTGCCAGTTGCCCCCGCCGCCGGTTACACGGGACGCCACTGTTCGGAACCCCCCTTTTGTGCCTCCTGCAACTTCCGCGGTTGCACAACACAACATACACACACTACACACTGCATACTGCACACTGCACTCTCCAGTTGCATGCGGTTGGCTTTTAAACGGCTCAATGCCCGCGCTGATGGAACCGCCATATAGATATATGGCCATATATATCGCCAAGCTTTTTGGCCCAGCAGCTCTAATTTGTAGCTCCAACTGCATGCTCCCACCGCTGGCGCTGCTATTTTCAAATTTATCTATGCCGAAACGTGCATTGATGGCCTGCATGTTTATTGCTCGCCTGTCGTCGTTTTGCATTTGCAGTTCCCGGGCCGAAAAAATAAGTAAAAACAACAACAAAGCCCCACAAAAATTGGCGAACAAAACTGGACAATTGGCAATGAGCCCCGCTGCCGTGGGGCAATACATTTAATTAATATATATTTCAATTGCGCTGCACCACCGCAAGGACACTGCCCGCTTCGATAGCTTCTATTTGGCTCGTGTAAAAATAAAATGAAAATGTTTTGTGGCTTTCGCTCAAAGGAGGCGCGTGTCGTCATATTTCTTTTTTTTTTTTTTTTGTAAAGGCACACAGGGAAAAAATATAGAAAATATTCAATGGGTTTTTAGTTTGCTCCTTGTGCCAAAGCATGAAATATAAAGTTTAAGTTTTGCATTTTTCCTGACATGCAAGTTATCTTATAATTTCTGTGAACAAAACTTTATACATCACTGAAAGTAGTTAATGACTAACATACTTGAATATTTTAGTGAACTTCAATCTATTTTCTTCATATACTAAAAGAACAAAACAAATCGAAAATATAATATATTTTTCTTAATTTAGGGAGCTTGCAGTACTTACTTCTACGTGCTTGCTTAAATCAGACTTGCTTTTGTATTTTTAAGCAAGTTGCCTTACCACTTGTTTGTGATTATGATATGTAACTTCTCTCTAAACGCCATTTACCAATATTCAATCAGTATTTTGTGTATAACTAATTCATCAAGCTTCATAATAATGTGGGTATTTATATTGAATAGTTGTGGATATTTTATTGGCGGAGTGCTTGACCTAGAAGAGTTTACTGACGGACTTTAAAATATGTGATTAAACAAAGGTTTATTTATGATTTTTTTCTCGAATTGATTTTTTTTGTATTTATGAAAGATTTATATACGCCTCTCATAAGAATATAATTAGAAATATGTACCTGAAACTTGACTTTTTCTCTGTGCAGCAGATATGTTGGATGGCGAAATAAAAATCGCCGCTGATCGAACGCGATTGTCGGGTCTCTGGGCAGCAGATGCAGATGGTGCCGCTGCGGTTGTTGTTATTTTGCCGATGACCGCAAACAGTCTAGACCAAAAAGTGTACTATATGTCCTGCGAGGAAGGATTGCGGAAGGGAAACAGTGAAGGGAACACGGGAGGAACCGTGCGTGCCGCATCTTTCAATTTCGCTGGCGACCGATATTCGAGTAATGAAGGATCCATTCGGCCACGATGTACGAATTCGAAAACGAATAATTTAAATATTTAATTAACACATTCCGGCGGCCCAGCGACGCCATCCTCGCGCGTGTGTGTGCAATTAATGCAGGAATAGGCGCAATTAAGTTTGTCGCCGCTCGCTGCGAGCAGGGATTTGCAGATTGTTGCAAGCTTATCTCGTGATTCCGATCGAGCTTCAAGTGGAGGACTTGGCCTAAGCCCGACTGAGCCCGACTGGGCCCGACTGAGCCCGGCTTCGCAATACGCAACTTGCTTTTAAGACCCAGAGCCGGCGGCAGCGCAAAGATTTATCTGCATCCGGTGTCCAGTTACCGGGGCCCATTCCACGGACACTCGGTTTGAATGATGCGCATCTTGGGCATTTTGGAAGTAAATTTGTGTGCAAATGGGCTTTTTATTTGGCTCATGTTTCTTCCAGCGATGGCTGTCTCTACAGTCGCCAGCCCAGAGAGGAGAATCAGCGGAGAATACTACTACATACCTTTATGTGCTGGCTGCTGGCACGTATCTGGCAGATACCTGCGCCACAGATCGCATTTAAACTCGGACGCGCTGACATGAGCGGTTGCGGAAATTCGCCATCGTTGAGATCATGGAGCCAACTGGATGATAGGCGAGTCATAGGTTTTGCTTGTACCATGTCCATAAATATGCCCATTCAGTTCGCAGATAGCATTTGCATCCGAACAGATGCTGCCCCGCCTCCATGGATACAATTTAGATTCGCCATTGCGGCTGAGCGCCTCATAAAATGCCAAACAAATACTGCCATGCCGATTGCAAAGAGGTTTTTATAAGTGAATTTATCATATTAGTTTTAAAAGCTTTTTCCCATCTTAATGCCAGCTTAAATAATTATTCTAATCGAAATGCACTTTGGTAGATCAGTAGCGCTAATTGGCATATAAATGTTGCAACCGTATTATGACAGCTTCGAGTGATGAGCAGCCATATAATATAGTGTGGAATATAAAATAATAAATTAACAACTAGCAATAAAGATTTGCATTTTCAAGAACGATCCCTATAAGTATAATCTCCCTAATTTATAGTTCTTGAGCTATTATGGCCACAGACACTACGAATCTCCAGACTTTTTATTTTCAAAGTTAATCAAAAATACAATAAAATGTATTAAAATGTTACACACGAAAGGATTTAATTTCAGGATTTAAAATAAATTTGATTTTAATGATGCTACATTTTATTACATTGTGTTTAAATTCCAATAGACATAACCAATTCAAATTAAAATTGTAAATTCTTTTGGAAACTAGGCAAAAACTGCATGATCTCACATAATTTATTCTATTCAAAATATCAGGATTTTTTTTATTTAACAACAAAGAAAAAAGAAGTTCTCAAAAACATGAGCAAACATCTCAACAGTTATATAGTTACTTAAATAATACAATGTTTAATGATTTTCATCACAGCTTTAATATCGAGAATGCTTAAATTCATTTTCTTTCTAGCCCCTTTAATTAAAGATTTAATTAACAGTTTCCCACATGAAAAGCAGTTGCTATCGCACCTTGTTGAATCCGGTAATGCCATCCAAAGTGTATGCAGTATTTTGGCATTACTCGTATCACCTGAAAGGATTTCTGTGGCGTTACCCTCACAAACTGGCGAAACTAAACTAGTACCGATAGAGGTAACAAAAAAGCACGGCACGCAGAAAGGACAACGGCTGAAAGTTGGGACGGGAAAAGTCATTTGCTTGCTCGTCCGACAAGATGTTTGTTCGTTCGGCAAAATAAAGTACACACTGTCTGGTCGGCCGAGGGTGGCCAGGGGCTCGAAAAAAGGGGGTTTAGGGGGCTATGGGGGCTAAGGGGGCTGTTGAGCTCCCAGGGACATTTGGGATAACATGCGAACACGGCATATTTGCTGGGGTACAAAACGCCAAACGCTGTCTTCTAACCACTCAGCCACGAGGTAATGAATGGATGCGCATGCATGACATGGATGCAATTTTCGACAAAGAGCAGGCTAGGCCCCTTTCTGGGCTCGCCTGATTATCTCGTGTTCTGCGCAACCATATCCCAGGCCCAAAATCCCACCCCGTCTAAACAATATATGCACGGACGGACTCATACACGGCGGAAATCAAATCGAGAAATGAGTGCCCAGGGGTACATAAATGAAGCCAAGATAAATTGATAACATATTAAAACCAATTAACTATAACTAATAGTTTTTATAGAATTTTAAATATTTAGTAGGTTTTTTTAATACCGGATAAATTGGTTATTTTTTTTTTGTATTGCTTTTTTTTGACAATTCATTGAAGTTTAAAAAAGTAATCTTCAAAGCTTAAGCTAAGTACATGTAAAATATTTAGAGAGTAAAGATAGAGCGTACTTTAATTTTATAATTGTTTGGCTGATGTAAGCTTGATATTCATTTATGCAAAATTAGTTATTTTGAATAAAAATCAATCTAAGTGAAAATGATAAAAATGCATAGCCGAATTCGCATCGAAAAGTTTTCAATAGTGAAAGAAAAACAATTTAAATATTTAATCAGATTGCATTGTCTGCTCTTCCTCTGTAATTATCTCTAATATAATAAATGCAAATTTTTCCTAACAGCAATCCAAGGCAATCTTAAATTTATTCAATTTGTTGTTATTGGTTGGTTATTTTATATTTGTGTAATCGTTTACAATAAGGCTTGATAGATCTAAATAAATAAATTAATTACATTAATTCACAGCCCATTTCTCCGGGTGCAGTAAAACCCACGGATAGCCGTCTAGTTTTTGGATCGCTTGTGGATATATTGGAGTCCTTGAAAGGGAATTGTTCTGCCTTTGATCAGAAGTGAGTTAATTGGCCATTTGGCAGGCTCCATGGTATTTCTAAATTGGATCAAAGGTATGATGGAGAAGCATAAACAGTCGCCACCCAGTCATCCACCCACTGGCAATTTGAGAACACCCCCTGGTTTTTCCGGCCATGTGTACTAATTAAAACCTGGCATATTCGTAGCCTAAAAATACCAAGGCTGCCCGAGCGTTTTGGCCATATTTCGTGGCGTTCAAGGAGGCGGAGCGTTTTCCACCTTCCAAGTTCCAGTTGCAACCACCGCCCACCGCCTGCCGCCCACCTGGAAAGAGCAGTAACGCCCGCGAATTGGACTACCCATCTCTTTTGCACTGGCGGAGAAAACCCGTTTTCCACTGCACATGCGCAACTTTTGTGCCGACCGGCAACCCTCTCTCTTTCTCGCTCTCTCCGCCACTCTCTTTTGCAATGAGTGCTTTTGGCCAAAAGCGAGCATGCAACACACAACTAGTATGCGCTCGAACTCGGTAATGCGCGCATCATGGGCGAGAGTGGGCGCGCAAGGCCGAAACAGGTTGCCACACGATGGGTGGCGGTGGGTGGTTTTCGTATCCGTACACGTATCCACACACATATCTATATCCACAAATAACCCAAAGTTGTGAATAACCCAAAAGTGCGTGCCCCTGATTGGGCCAAGGTAGGAGTATCGTTAGATCAACAGCTCCACACGACATGAGCAGACACAAGAGTGCCAAAGTTTACACTGTCACGTGCTTGTCAACCAACGTCTCGGCGGCTTTATAACGCCCATGACCCCGGGCACGCTGGAACGATGAAACGCTGAAGCTTTACAAGTGACCCCCGGCCGCGTGGACTTTGCACCCGGTGAACGGCAACTGCTGCTACCTGAACTACTTGAAGTCCCCACAGCGCTTTCATGTAAGTATTGTTCAGTCAACAATTGCGTGATAGTGCTCTAGATAATCACCTATCATTGCGGGGGTGCTGATTCTGTGCCGAAGTTAGGATATTAACACAATTAAAAATAAAAATATGTAAAAGACATATTATCATTTAAGAATTGGTACACTTTGTAAATAAATAAAAACATAAAGAGTAAAAGAAAAAAAAAACAAGGATTTAAATTTTAAACTTTGTATTGATGTTGTTCTAATAATACTGAAAACCTTAAATATAGCCAATTAAATATTTGCATATAGGAACTCGTGAACTTTCATAAAACCACTAAGGTAAATTATATTTGACTAGTCATGAATAGTCGCAAAGAGCTCTCAATGAAATTGTAATAAAGCGGGTAATGGTTAGTAATATTTAATATATATAGGTATATAGGTACATAAATAAATTTAAAATACTAGATTTATAAATCCATTGGATAATTGTAATCCGATTTACGTTTTTTTTATTACTTAAATATTTTTTGCATAGACAAACACAAGTAATAGATATTTAAGACTTTAAGACATCAATTCGTGACGAAAAGTAAGCTCCTTCAAAGGTGCTGGACCAGCGGACTGTAGCATATGTTTCCATTAGTTTTCCTTGACGAGCTGAAAATGCCATGCAATGGGTTTAAAAAATACCTGGCGCAGCGCCTAAGAGTTTTCTCTTGCGCTCGTTATTTATATTTTTTATTCGTATGATGAAAAGCCACGCAACTATGTTCGTCGCGTGTCTGGGACCATAAACAGAAATTGTTTCGCAAAACGCCTCCGTCGCTTTTGCGGGCACCATCGACATTGCAAAATAAACCTGCCCAGCGAGAGAAACAAAAAATTATCATGGGCAAAATAATCGTATTCATAAATAAATATGCTTTCCCATTTTCCCCGCCACCCAACCTCTTGCCCATCTAAAGCATATACGATATGTGGTACACCCTTAGCCTAGGCAGCTATTCATCAGCGCATCATGTTTAAGCGTTCGTGGCGTCGATGATACAACCGATAAGAGACCAATTTCGCAATTGCGGCGCTGGAATTTTTAATTAGTTCAAGAAAGCCGCAGCCGGCTGTCGGCCAGGTAGCACGGCCACCACACTCACTCTTGTTATGGCCAAAAGGTGTAGAACCAGTCGAGAACGAAGTAATATCCTCCCAAGCGCACACGAAACGCAAGCGAAATTTGCATACTGCCGCTGCGATACTTTGAAGGTCCGAGGACGGTCATAAAATGTATTAAACTAAAGTATGTGTTAAGTGCACATGTCACAGGTCAAATTCCCTAGTGTTATGATTTATCTTTTTTCCGATTTTCGTGAGGTTTTGAATTTAAAAGAGGTTGAATGGGGTAATATACAAATTCTCTAATAAATACAAAAATAGACTTAAATCTTTGATTGTTAGGACATTATTAATTTTCTTGGTTTCGTTAAGACTAGATAAAATAACTTAAAAACTTCACTGCTTTACGCCAAAGTGAAATCATAACTGTTTTTAACTTTCGAATTTAATTTCGGGCCAAAATTATAATAACCATAATTGATTCCTTCCTAAGTTATTCACCTTTTTTTGCCTTCAAATATAAATGCATAAAAATAATTACGAAAACGTTATTATTTTCCCTCTGCTTTTCGTATTCTAAAAATTAAAAATCAACCTCATTATTTTTAATTGGAATTAATAGATCAACGAATTGTAGATGAATTTCCGCACTTGCATTATTTTCGCTTTAAACAATATAATTAGGGTCCCAAAAGTTAGCATGCAACAATTTTGTTTAAATCGTTCCACTTTTTTTCTACTTAGACCTTCCTTGTTTGCTTTGAGAAACCAAGCTAATTAACAGTTTTGTTTTGGTCTTTATGTCCAAAAGTATTTTGTTTCCGATCGCGAATAAGTACGAATTGTTCGTGCTCATACGCTCGTAACTAACCGACTGGCTAGACTCTGTGTGCGGTTAGGAAAACTTGGCGGTTACCAGCGAAGTATGGAATAATTAAAAACAATTCAATTCGCAATTTGCACCATAATAAAATAAATTACATATTCATTTATGCAGAATATAACCGCTAAACTGCAACTGCAACAGCAACACCGCAGATCGGCGACGGCCAGTTGGCCACATCCACGTCCACGTCCACGTCCATATCCACATCCACATGCAAGCGGATTGCACTTGGGTGCAGTGGAGCAAGAAGTTGGACCTACACGAAGGGTCGTTGCCTGCCTTTGGCTGTGGGAATGGCGATACCTTACGTACTCGATTGATTGTTCCAAAATAGGGAATATACCATATATTGGATTTTGGCCAGAGAGAAGATGAAATACCTATATTTTGTAAACGCCAACTTGACACGCTCCTGAGTTTTGGGTCAAATTTCTACGCTTCTGTGCGAATAAAATAAGGCCACCGCTGAATATTCATAATCCAGTCTAGGAACGAGTCTGCTTTGTTGTGTGGCATGCAACTATTTCTCGCGTTCGACTAAAATAGAATTTGTTTCATTTGATGGTAGACTGAATCCACCGTCTGACAGCCCTCCTCCCATATGCCATATGAATACTTTTTAGCGAAATGAATTTTTATTTTAATGAAGAGCGCCACTGCACGCACATTTCTTCGGGAAACCTTGTTAAGTGTGTAAATTATTGAGAAACATTGCTAATTTTTTTCCAAACAAACATAACTTATTAATGCTTTCAACCCATTCTCACCATTAAATGTGGAATTTGTTTATCGCAATAATTATTTTGTATGATAAATATATATTAATTTATTTATTTTAATAAGAAGCTAGGAAACACAATTACAACTTTTTATAGTATAGTGTATTGAACAGTGATTTATTAAATAATGTATAAGGTATCTTTGAAAACTAAAACCAAATTAAAAAAAAATCTTCCCCATTGAGAAAACTTCAATTCAGTTTGTCAATCGTTGGGTTACCAACTGAGACTCTTTCTAAAAACCTATCCAGCTATGAAAAGACCAACTATAACCTGGGGGAACAGGTTTAGTTTATGGCTTTTAGGGGTCGCTTTTAACAGGAGCCACCGCTACAGTGAGTGTTTAGCGTTCGTGCTGGCGATTAAGCTGTTCATTCGCTTGGCACGCTTTTTGTGGCAACCCCTTGACTGTTATTAAAAAATACCAGCTTCCAATTGCAGGAAGTTAATGAAATGTTTTCTACAAAACATTCTTATATAATGTCTTTATTATTATCCATTGCTACTCATAAGGGTGATAATTTATTTGTCATTCAACCTTTCATAAGTTGAAGGGATATTTTTAATTCCCTAGAAGGTTTTCTTAAACACAAATAGATAAACAAATATATTAATCCAACTGATATTTTAGAGCACAATAATAGATTATTCCTAAAAGCTTAGTTACTTTGAAATTAAATTGATTTAAATATTTCGCACGGATTACATTACCGGAAAATGAGCCTTTAAATTCCTTGAATTTCCTGCTTTAAAAATGGGATTCACCGTAGTCGATTATTTGCGGACTTTCCGGACTTGCGGACACTCTGATGCCTGATGTCCGTTTGCCAGGTGGACTGGGCGAAATGGAGCTGCGTCCGCAAAGGTCTGGCGCTTGCGGATGAAGAACAGGGAATTTATAAAAAAATGTGAGTGCTTTCATTGATGTTGGTTTATCGGAGGTGGCATTCCCCGGCTTTTTACATTGTATACTGCCCATGAAGTCCAACCTTTTATTTAAATGTTAACAATAAAAATGAATTTGCATTTATTGATTTTCGGGCAGGAGTGTTGCTGTGGGGGCGACAGTTTTAAAAGAGGTCATATCCATATCCACGTAGGGGATCAGCCAACCGGTTTTTTTCTTTGCTGCTGAGATTGCATTTTGTCTTCTCTTTTTTTTTTGGTTTTTGACCAGACCACCTTTAATAAGCCTGTTAGATACGCCATTATTGTCTTCAAGTTGGCCAAAATGAAAGGAACACATACGCCAGCACAGACGTAATAAAGAGAGAGCAGGAGCCGTAGATCCTGCAGTAGCCGTTTGTTAAGCCTTTGTCTAGCAGCCATTTTAAGTGCCATAAAAAACTCCAAAAGTTGTAGGAACAATGTAGACAGCGTGTTTTCATTTTATGCGAATTAAGCTGCCACTTGAACAACTTTGCCTTCACCAGCGACTGGACCGCCGAGACCGACACTGACAACAACAACGACAAAAGCAACGGCAACAACGACAACGACGACGACGTCACTGACAGCGGCAGTGGCAGTCCACATCCAACAACACACACGAGGCACATCCACATGAGTGTTAGGTACACACGATTGTTCATATGTGGATGGACTTTATAGGGGAAGAGCCCAGATTTTTTACATGTTTCAGTGCACGAATTTGAAGCTAATCTAAAATTTCACGTTGTTTTATACCAAAAAAGTTAAATTTTTAATAACAAAATCAGGTACAAACGTAAAACTTTTCCACTAAAATAAAATACTTTTCAATCAAATTTAAACATTAAACTATATTATTCCTTCACATTTTAAAAACTATACTATACTACGCTTTTCATGTTTAGTTTATAAGAACTGTAACTACTGAGATCATATAAAATAAATAATTTGATACTTAAAGCATATATATTGAATTTAAAATAATTGTAAGTGTTTAATAAATAATATTCCACGTAATATGTTCTGTAGTATATTTATTTTTTCAATAAAATAATTTTTTTGAAAACTACGTATAATATTTAAAAATGGATGTTTTTGAGTGAATGCATTAATTGTTAATAAATTTATATATATATATTTATTTTAATATTAAGTTTCAAATCCATTTCAATTTCATCCCCGAATGTTAATTTATTTTCTACCCCTATGATCATGGCAGAATTTCGCTAAGAACTGGAAAATATTGCAGCATACTTTTAGGACGACGCCAGGACACGGCCTGGCAGCATTTCCTACAGGGCACGAAGGACATCCTCGTCTACATCAAACGAGAGCGCCCACAAGGGATACAGTTGTTAACGTGGCCAAGGAGCAGCGTCTATGGCGGGGACAAAAACACCAACATGGTTGCCACGAGTGTCGCGAAGGACGAAGGAAGAGAAACGAGGGCTGCAGTTGAAGGAGCAGAAGCAGGGCACTTTATGTGCATATAATGTCCGCACACACACTGAGGGACGACCCTTCGAGTACAGTGTCGGCCAAGTTGCGGGGAATTGTTAATATTGTCTGGGCCTGTAAGCAGCATTTACATGCTGGCAGACACCACGTACTACATACGTCCAGGCTGATGGACGAGCTCCTGTTTCTGCTCCTGCTCCTGTTCCAGCTCCAGCTCCAGCTCTAGCTCCTGCCCAAGCGGATGATGCCGGCTTTAAGTAGGCCCGCCCGGCAACATAAATTGTTTTAAAAATATCCACATGCTTGCATTTTGCAGATGTTGAATTAACCGACCAGACTTTCATTAGAAGCAAAGGATGGATTCAGTGCAGGAGTTTCAGGGTGAGTGTTTGCCATGTGTGTAGCATAGTCCCGAGTACATGGGCTAGGCTTTATACATTAATAGGTGGTGCAATAAGCACAGGCAGGCTCTTTTAGGAAAGTAAAAAAGAAATAAATATTTTGCCCTTGATGGGATAACTTTAACTTATTGCCACTTTTAAGGCAACAAAGGGGTATATCATTAAAAGTAAAAACAATTGATCCAATATTACAAACCAAGATTTAAACGCAGATTTTCAGAGAATTAGGCCACAAGCCCTTTAAGATATACCTATTAAAAATCGGAAGTCTGTAAAAGAAGTTATGGACTTAAAACTTCCGGTTTTTGTCACTAGTTCCGCAAAGCCATTTTTTGGAATTCAAAATTACAAACCATGTTTTAAACGCAGATTTTTAGAGATTTTAGTCACATGTGTTTTAAGATATACCTCTTAAGAATCGGAAGTCTATGGAATTAAAACTTTAGGTTTTGGTAGCTGGTTCCGCAAAACTATTTTTTGAAAATCAAGAAAGGGGTTACATCATTAAAATTCCAAAAAAATCGATCCAAAATTACAAACTAAGATTTAAACGCAGATTTTCAGAGAATTGGGCCACAAGCCTTTTAAGATATACCTCTTAAGAATCGGAAGTCTGTAAGATAAGTTATGGAATTAAAACTTCAGGTTTTGGTAGCTGGTTCCGCAAAACTATTTTTTGAAAATCAAGAAAAGGGTTACATCATTAAAATTCCAAAAAAATCGATCCAAAATTACAAACTACGATTTAAACGCAGATTTTCAGAGAATTAGGCCACAAGCCTTTTAAGATATACCTCTTAAGAATCGGAAGTCTGTAAGATAAGTTATGGAATTAAAACTTCAGGTTTTGGTAGCTGGTTCCGCAAAACTATTTTTTGAAAATCAAGAAAGGGGTTACATCATTAAAATTCCAAAAAAATCGATCCAAAATTACAAACTAAGACTTAAACGCAGATTTTCAGAGAATTAGGCCACAAGCCTTTTAAGATATACCTCTTAAGAATCGGAAGTCTGTAAGATAAGTTATGGAATTAAAACTTCAGGTTTTGGTAGCTGGTTCCGCAAAACTATTTTTTGAAAATCAAGAAAGGGGTTACATCATTAAAAGAGAATTAATTTAGAATTAATTAATTTTAGAGAATTAAGTCTTAGGCTTTTTAAGGTATACCTCTTAAGAATCGGATGTCTGTAAGAGAAGTTATGGACTTTAAACTTCAGGTCTTGGTAACTAGCTTTGCAAAACCATAATTCGGAAATTAAAAAAAAAAACAATCCAAAACTACAAACCATGATTTAAACGAAGATTTTGAAGGAACTAAGCCACAAGTCTATAAATACATTACAAATCAAAATCGGATTTATGAAAGAAATGTTATGGACTTACAACTGCAGGTTTTTGGTCACTTTTCACATTCAGCTTCATATATACATGGAGCTTGAATCCACTTAAAACGATAACTTATCCGATATATTTCGATTGAGGCAGCACCACACTTCAGTAGTCGATTGGACACGGCCTGGCAGCCGGATTTCGTCCTCAAGCGTCTTAGGTACTCAAATAAAAATAATGATGCGAGAGTAAATGAGATGCTATTCAATTCAAATGGCGTGGGATGCATGTGAAATTATACGCACATGCGAAGGTGTACGTATGCCCATATGCCATTTCAAATCCAAATCCATATCTATGTGGATGGGTTCGGCACATGTGAGTGTGTGGAGTTCGCTGATGCAGGGTGTATATACGAGTGTGGTATCCAGAAAGTAACACACATGGATAGCTCGCTCATTTACCGCCTATACTGTCGCCGGGAGTCATTCGTCAGTCAATCCGTCGTCCTCCCATTTTCCCGCTCCCTCAGGCATGATGTCCTTGCTGCCCGCCGTGTACCGCTCCGCTCCATCCAGGCATGTGCGCAAAACCAGCGCACATTCGTCAGAATTTGCATTTCAATTCGAATGTCAGGATGACGGAGCGTTGAATTTGGGTGGCGTTGCCATCGGAATGAAAATAAATCACGCTGCTTCACCGCATAGGCAACTGGGAAATGGGGGATGTGGAGATGGAGCTGGAAGCTGAATTCTGCGGAATGGGAACGCACCACAAGAGCAAAACAGAGCCACCATTAAACCAAAACAGACCCCGGGGCGTTCGTTTTGGGGATGGAACTCATTTATTCGCATTTTTTGTTGTTGTTGTTGTTGTTGCGAATGCGAAAATGAATGTGGAAACTTTTCCGCCATCATTTTGAGTGATGTCAATTAGATTGATTTGATCAGCGAAAATATGTGATTTATCAGACAGCAACAGCGCCTGGGCGGCCCCAGGACATTCGTCTCATCGCCCCCAAAAACGCAATCTACATACATCTACTCCTGGTGGCCATATCCCGACCACGGTGCGTATGAATATCTAATGTGGCACACACGTACGCAATCCGCTTCATCACTTGTTCGTTCGTTCATCTACTTCATCAATCAGTCATCTAACTAGTTCTGTCATCCTACGTTAGTCGTCTGGAGGGGCAAACGCAACACTGTCTTTAGGGTCCAGTTTTTGGTAAATAAGATTTTCAGGGTCATTGGAGTGCTTTAAGATTTGTAGTTGAAAAGAACTTTAAGAAAATGCAAGAAAATGGCTTAGTTAAATATTTTGATTGAGTTTTTATTTTTCCTTATGATTTTAATTGTGAATTAAAGAATGCACATCCATGTTGAATTTCTTAATATTTGTTAGCTTAATAATATTTTAATAAACCATTTAATAACCTGTCAAAACAAGTTTTCTACCGATTTGCGGTCATTAAATAAAAGCCCCAATCATTTTCCGATGGAATTTCACCCACTATATTATTTCCAAATTAGTTAGGCTAACCCAACAAACGCCCGAATCAAGGCGAATAACTTGTGTTATGACGACCATAATGTGGGATATTTGATTAACCGCTTTCCACCGGCCTCGTTGTGGGACTATAATATAACAACGTATCCGGCTGGCGAATCACTTCGCCAAACAAAAGCGGCACGTTACTAGCAACGCCTACGATATTAATAAACCATTGGGCGAAGCACTTGCGGCGCCGCACAAAGCAAATAAAATAAATCAAATCGGAGAAAAGAAAGCAGGCAAATCGCAATCTGAGTGTGTAATGGGGGGAAAACAAAGGGGAGTCCCCCTTTTATTTCTGTTTCTTTTTTTTTTTTTTGGCAGCCCAAAATTTATGCGCGCTCTTTGCCCGGCCGCTCCCACGCAATGTTCCAAAAATTTTCCGGGGATCGGGGATTCGGGGATTGGGAAATCGGGGTACTGGGATCGGGAACTGGTCCTGCGGTTGCGACGGGTTGTCCCTTTTTTCGGGGGTGGCTACATGTGTCAATAACTCATTTTCAAATGGAAATAACATCGAATAAAATTCGCGCTTCCTCTAGCTTTTTTTATTCCGTATATACCCCTCCTGCCATCGAAGTGCCAGTGCCATGTGTGTCAATCCATTTATACTTGTGTTGGCCGTGGTTTGGGCCACGCCACGGCCCCTTTTGACTGATGAAATATCGTGACAAGCAGTATAAAAGCTATTAAAGTCGAGTGTAGATGGCGCTACTTGAATTTGTCAAAATGTCTTTTTACGCGCAGCCGGCACAGGCAAACGAATCAAATACACGCCTATGGCAAAGTCGAACCGCGAATACCCCTCCCCCACCCTAAAAGCCACCACCCACCCACAAAAAACACACACACACACACACACATACGTCATGGGGAATAACGGGTGAAACTTTGATTGATGCCGTTGTGTCACGCAGGCGCGCATGTGGCTAATGGGCGGTCGGCGGCATAAAAAACCGTCGATATTTTAGGAGAAAGGGGACGCAGCTGGGGACGCCGCAAATCAATTGAGTGATGTTGCCAATTTGGGCATTGTTCGGGGCGCAGATTTGGTGAGCTATCTTAATCGAGCCCCAGTCGCTTGTTTTAGTGCACTTGCAAACTGCAGAACAGCTTGTAAGAGGTGCACAAAAAGAAAAGTAAACTTGTTCAGCATATTTGTAGTCTAATTCAAAAACCCAAAAAAATAAACGTAAATTTTAAATTTTAAACAATAATAAAAAGGTGAGAATATGGAATTTTCAATGAATATTTTTTTTTAAGGCTTACAATTTTTAAAATATGTTAAGCACAAAGATGTCTTTTTTGGCAACCTTTCCACTTCTAAGAGAGACATTTAAGGAATATTATTTTACAAAAATTGAGTATATATTTTGCTGCAAATGCAAAGAATGAAATTTTGAAATTATATAAAATAGGTTCAAAAGAGTTGGAGCTAATAAACTCACTGACCATAAATAGTTGATTTAATTTTCTCAACGTATACCTCTCAGTAAACTGTACTGGTAATTTTCTCCAGTGCAGTTCCCCGCTGTTGTTCAAGTGGCGTCCACAAATAAACGCGCGCCCCAAATGCATCAAAGTAACGAGCTCAAGCTGCGCACCACAGCCAGTCCTGGTCAGAAGGAGTGCTCCGAACGGGGATGTCGCTGGAATAGCCACTCAAATGCCCTACAAGCGACTGGCGCCTGCAGTTGTGATATATGAAATTAACTTAATAAAGCAGTGAAATATCGCCAGTGAATGGAACGCGATTCGCAAGACGCGATCAGCGGGCGCTAGGCGACTTGCTGCGACTCCATAAATTGTGGCACTTTGGGGGTCAGCGTCAGCCAGCGCCTGAGAGATGTGGCATCCCGCAACACCTAAGGTGTCCGCTGGCTTACTTTGGTCACAGATATTTGCTGGGCCTGTGGAACACAAGTCATGAATGTGAAGGGCTAATTAGGAACTCTTTTGGGAACTTAATGGTTTCGACTTAAAGATACCTTAGTTTAAAATATCTAAATAACCTCACTAGAACCGATTGGAATTATGGTGGTGATTCGTTTCTTAGGATTTTCTAATTACGTATTATGTTTACGAATTTTGAG